ATAATAACAGTGTTTTATGTGCTTACAACTTCATAATAGTCTGTTATAAAGCAATTCATGAATACAGATCTACTGTTTTTCAATACTAAATAGATGGATTTAAAGTAGAGTGTTGCCAGATTTGAATATTTGTATATTAATGAAGGGAAATGTGCAAGACTTTAAAAGACACATTTAATTATTTACAATGAAAAATATATTTGCAATTCAATTTTAAGTTCAATTGAGTAAGGAAAAATGAAAGCAGCCTTTTTAATTATTCTGCAATTATTGAATATCATACCACTATAATCCAGTGATTGTGTTGATCTCTTGCAAATAAGCAAAAAAAAAATTATTAAATCATTTTCCAACAAAATATTTAACATTTTGGGCATCAAACCCATTTTATTTAACTTAATGCAATTTAATCCAACACAGTTAGTGCACATGCAAAGTATCATATTTAAATATATATACTGTATGTTTGTACCAAGTGTCATGTTTAAAAGTTTTTAATATTTCAACATTTAGGTAATAAATTAACAAAATTGAATCTTTACTGAAAACACTGCCCACAATGAGTATACACTCTTAATAAAGCATAAAATACATGATACATTTGTATAACTTCCATGTTTGTACTTTTTTTTCAGAAAATATTTTCTTCAAAAACACAAAATCAGTGAAAGACATCCAAAAATAAAAAATAAATCACAATTGGAAACATTTTGTCTACGTCTTTACCATGAGAAAAATCTAAATACTTCCTTCACTTAAAGGTATTATGTGTAGGATTTTCCCTGAATATTACACTACCTAACAGAATAACATGTGCTACACGTTATAGTCAATTATAACAGCTTAAGGGCAGCAAATGTGATTACTTTTACCCTGTTGCTTCTGAATATTTAGCTACCAGTCCGCCATTAAAGAAGCTAAAACTTCATATAAAATCTGTGAGTTTGCCTTTTAAACAAACAAAGGAATATTGAGTAAATCATCAGAGGTCATTTTAAACTGCAACATCCATCGTCCAACTTAATAATTTAACAGTAATAAGAGAATACTACACATAGCACCTTTAAAAGCATGTTGATGATTGACTGTTGCTCAGCTCATGATCATTAAAAATACAGTAAGAAATTGTCAAACAGTACACAAACCATTAACATAAGAAAAACAAACGATCACAGTTGAAGAAGCAACTACAGCATAGCCATGGGGGTACATCTATAAAAAATCTGATACCGATGAATTAAGTTTTCTGTCACAGAGAACAGCTGAGTGTTGACATTACTGACATGTTGCTGAGAATTTGATATGTCGGCGCCGTAAGAAGCAAGCGAACGAACACAACGTATTTTCGTTATGTGCCTGAGTTGATGGAGGTAGAAATATCCAATGCTGGGCTAATGGATAATATCCAGCATAGGCAATAATGAATTATACAACCATTTACTTACCTCATATATTAAGTTTATTTGTATGTAATAGAAGAAGCATATGGCTTACCAGTGGCACAGTCTGCAACCTCACTCTGGTCTGTCAAAAGTGCTTTTACTTTCGCCTAAGAGGTGAAGGTAACGCTTGTCATGGTGGGAAAATATAAATAATTCACCATTTCTCAAAACATGCTTATTTGCTGTCTTGCCAAGAGTTAGGTGAGAAGAGTAATACCACTCTCATGGCTGTATAAGTAAATATAAAGCCACAGCAAAGGCTAGTTAGCTTAGCACAGAAACTGAAAAGAGGGGGGCAAAGTTAGCTGAAGCTAAAAGCTAACGCTAACGATTTGCCTCCTCCAAAGAGGGTTTCTGCCGTTTTGCAGTTTTGTATGTTGGTGGAATTACAGAAAAGCTAGAGTTTGCAGATTTAAAAAAATAATAGTCTTTGGACATTAAAAGTCTGATAAAAGTGGTTACTTTTGAAGTATCAAGGCTAGCTATTTCCAGTGTTTATGCTAAGTTAAGTTAGCTAGCAGTAACATGTTCTCATCTACTTCTCAGAGAATAAGCATATTTTCTAAAAGGTGGAACTTTTTCTTGAAGTCTCCAAAAACACTGCCCATCACCAGTGTTACCGACTTTATCATTAGAATAAAGTCAACACTATGAGGGTGCAGTTTGGCTTTAAACTTAAATGTTAACATTTTAAGCATAAAAACACGCAACTTTTTAAACCTAATGACATTATAAAAACATAGCCTGTCACATCTAAATAGCTTATAAAACTAATAAAAAATAGTTGAGTATAAAATAGACTGCAGGTCTGATAACAGATCAACTTGTGAGTTTTGACTACACACGCAGAACAAAATATAATACAGGCCTTGTATAAATTAAGATTTCCATTGTATATTTATCTGCCTATATATAGCAGCAGGCTGAACCAGCTGAACCTGAAGCACCGTAGCACTGCTTGTCTTTCTTTTGGAAACCAACATCTTTGCTGAAGTCGTTATTAAAAAGGGGTTGGACTTGATCCCTCCTACTTGCGGCTGCTATTTATTTTTGTGGATTTCCTTGATGATGTTCACTTAACCTTTTGACAATAGCTGGAGGAAAGTTGTGGAGGAACTAGTACTGGTGTTGGCTTTCTGGCTGATGCTGCCATCAGTAACATGCCTACAGAAAAGGCAAAGACAAGCCTTTCTGTTCCTGCTTTGACTTTCCTCAAAACAAAAACAATTTCAGCCGTGAGAGAAGTCACATCTCCACATTTGACAGGCACATAAAGTTACAGACTGGCCTTAACAGTTTAAATGGCTTTGTTTGTCACATTTTACATTAAGCCAAATCAGAAGCAGTTGGCCTCATTTCAGCAAACTGAGATTTTCATTTACACAGAGTGATATTTATGCTGGAATGATTATGGCGAAACCCTATTAAAATGTGGGTCACAGATCATTATCTAATGAGTCATTTCAAGACAGAAAGTGACAATGTTATTATTTCACATGGGTTTATCTCATACTAGAAGAAAAGACAAGATGACGGAAAATTGTGAGCACCATTGGGAATCTTTAAGTTAATTTCTCCATTAAGATTGGAACGTATTCAACTTAAGACTAAAGAAAGAATCACATGTAGAGGAGATAAGAACGGAAAGGGGTCTCATGAGAATAAGGTGCCAAATAAATATATTTTACTAAAGCTAAACAAAATAATATAATGTATATAAGGTACTTATTTACTACACGGAAAAACAAGTTGTCCAGGAGTCATTTAATTGAAGTGCTTTCCAAAAACGTTTGAACTTATTTAACCCTCCTATTGTCTTCGTGTTCCCCCTTACTTTGGTGTTCGCGGTCAAATTTGACCGGTTCTGTTTTAACTGCTATTACATTAACACAAAAAACATTAATCATCACCAAATGTCTTTTAACAACCTTTCAAACTGTAAATATTGTATCAGACTACTGGTATACATGAAAAACTGCAGTAAATATGCAAAGAATAGACACTGAACATGTATTGCGTGTGCCAGGTGTGATCCATGTGGGGGGATGGGCACATAAGAGCGGGAAATGTATCAAATTGTTCTGTGTGTGTGTTTGTGTGTGTGTGTGTTTGTGTGTGTGTGTGCCAGGTGTGATTCACATGGGTAGGATGGGCACATAAGGGGGGGAACACATCTATAGTATGTGTGTGTGTGTGTGTGTGTGTGTGTGTGTGAGTTTTATCTGATCCGGATGGTTATTAATTCC